GATGTAAGGTCTCGCAAGGTTCTTATCTGCAAACGCCTCAAAGGGTGGTGCCCACGTGAGGTGCGTTGGAGTGCAACTGGATCATCCATTCATCGGTTATTGTTCCCCCATTGAGATTCCTATGTTTGTTGTCCATACCACTGGCGCATGAACACCTAGTCCTTGTGACGAATATTAAAATGGAAACAGATCGGGCAATGCATTTATTGTCTTTTATATGATATTTTTAATATGGTTGTACAGCTGGACCACTTCGACAAAGACCTGAACTTTTTCGCGAAAAAAATGTTTGCTGCGTGTTGGTCGGACACCCTGCCAAGCGGGTCAAGCTGTTGGGGTCCCTGCATTACAAAAACCTTGATCACAAAACCTTTTGAGAGCTAGTGAAGTCACGAGCACACTAATACAAATTTTGCAAGCAAGCGTAGGTATGAGAGGTCCACCAGTCAATCACAATACAGTATCACTTATGTATATAGATGATACTGCTGAGAGTCTTGGTGTAGAGTGTAGAGTAGTGACTGCGATGTGGAAAGTTCTATATAATATATCCTGAGTATCTACAGCAATTGTATACCAGCATTTCTGGACGGGACTTTTGCATCGTGGTTGTTTCATGCAACTTCATGTGCACTGGGCTACTCGTCCACTGGTCTTCTAAGATGATCGATGTTTGTGTCCTTGTTAACCGTTTAGGTAGCGCAGGTGCAGGATCCCTTTCCTAGTCTTGGGCAAAATATTACGGAGTCGCCCCTACAGACGAGGTCATGCAACGTGCGGGGACTTGCCTGCAGTCCTCCAAAGCACACAGCATTCTGAACAGCTTTGGTCGGGCATGCGAAATTGGTTGACCTCATGGGAAGACTCGACAGAACCAACGCGTCCTTTGTCGCTGTTTGGTTTCCTTTGGAGCTAGGCTAGAACTTGGGCCAATTCTTAAACGGGGGTGTAGAGAGTTGGAATGAGTTGGATGTGGCGTTGAACCCGGTCGTTTGCAGGATACATGCACTTCGTTGTATGTGGAACTTGTTTGTTTCGCATGCTTCACGCGCATCCTGATTTCTAGTGCAGGATAGGCCATTCCCCCAGAGCAAGAGAGACAGAGAGAGGGAGAGGGTTGCCTTGAATGGCAGGGCCTCAAGAACGGCAGCGGACGAGATCGGCCTGTCCTCAAGCTGGAGGCAGTCAGTTTGAGTCAAGAACCGCAACGCGCAATGGTGGACCACCACGACAGTGAATGCATAATATGTGTCCAGTCTCTTGGAAGGTTTGTTTCAGATGCTATCAATGCAGTCTGAATCTGAAATGTGTTTTCGTTTCAACCAAATTATTGGTATTATGGAACACACTGTTTTTCTAACCATTGTTGGAGAGGGCTGCTGGGTGATATCGAGGTCCATAACTTTGCCAGCCATGTTTTGTGAACCAAAAACAACTTCAGAGGATCAGCAAAAATTGTATTATATTGAATGCGATTAAAGATTGAAAAAAGTGCTCTTCAACCGCGCATTGTAATTTTGTTGAGTTCCAAAGAATTGTTCCTTCTTGTCAAAGAGTCAGGCGTTCCGAATCCGGTTTGTACAACAATGTTGCAATGGTGTTTTCCACGTTGCAGGTCGCAGCTGAAGACTTTGTCGAGCGGCGAAACTACATCCAACTGGCTACGGAGCTATAATTTACCATAATTTACCTATTCGGCAAAAGCCTGGTTTATTTCCTGAATAGATTCCATTATAAAGACTCCATGCGCATCCAGGGTTCCGTTTCGATAATGCACAGCGGTTCATCCGTGTCCTTGGATGTACTAGGGTCCTGGTACTTAATGGTCTCTCTTCTTGCTCGTTGGCTATTTACAGTTGCCTACCCTCCCGGCCTGCGTACCCTCCTCAGCCATGGGCCGCTCCTCCCTCCTTGTTGGTGAGTTTGCTGCCCTTTTTTGGACCCGTAGCAAGTCGAAGTTTTCTGATGTAAGGAGCGTAGACAAAACAATATCATATCATGGTTAGTGCAAGACATCGAGAAGAATAGCAGCAAAATAATTGTTTGTTTGATGGCTGAAACAATTTTGCTGGACAGAGTGTGCGGCCCATACTTGGGAACTTTAGTGCAGGTAGTACGGGATTCTAGGATTTCGGTGGTGACATCAAGAAAAGGTTGTGTTGCATGTAGCAAGGCTCGAATGGGCTCAACAAATATCTCCCAATGGGGCGTGCTGAGGCGTCCGGAGCTGCCAAAAAGCAAGTGAAGGCCTTCCGAAATGTCATGGGTTGGGGCCTTAGGCCTTTGGCTTCAGAGCAGGAGGCATAGGAGGTCTAGTGGGTTTGGCTGTACTCTGGCGCTGCAGCTAGCATGTGAAATCTCTCAAGGGCAATCCCGGTGTGGAAAGATATATCAATGGCCGGAGCTACCAAGGCCCACCGCGATTTGGAGCAGATGTCCGAACCGAGTTGTGATGGGTCGAAAGTCAAGTTAAAAATTGGCTGGCGGCTGGCATCGCACTATCATTGTCACACATAGATGTCAACACAGTTCAATCAATGCCTTCGATGCACCATGGAGGCTCATCGACTGGAGAATTATATAGTACTGTAGTTTTGACTACACTTCAGTGATTGTGTTCTCAGCACACTTTCGGCTGGACACTTTGCGCTGTAGAACGTACTTCAGACAGCTTCATGGTTCCGAACATTTCCGAGCACATCAACCAACACAATGAGAAGAATATATGGACGAGGTAATGAATGAGACCATCCCAAATTGTTTCAGGGAAATGTTTCAGAAAGCGCACGACTTTCCAACTTTTCTGGACTTGGGGATTGAGGGGGACAGCAGAAGGGCAGAGTACAAGAGAACAAGCCGGGAAATTGGATTCATGCTTATCGCGGACAATTCGGGTTTGTCCCTGTGATAGCTCAGCGTGAGCAGAGCTGATCACGCAGACGTAGTGTCCAACGGACAGCTTTGTACACAGCTCGCAGGGGTTAAGTGAGTTCGCACCTGCCCATGGCCGTGGTTCTTCCACTGCCTGCAGACCAACGGGAGGTAAAGCAATCCACCATTGACCATTCAGAAGTTGTCAGTTCAATTGTCTACAAATACGTGTTTGCTCGGTCGAAGAAGCCGAACTGATGCGGCATCAGACAAGAAAGGGGGAGTCACCACTGCACAAGCGTCTCTTTGGGCCTGCCTGTGCAAAAAGCACAACCCAAGCGTCTCAACGTGTGGCATTACCCAAGCCACTTTGATCAAGACCGCATCGTATGTCCTAGGGGCCAAGTAACTGCCAACACACTGAGGCTGCTGGCCTCCAAGTGTTTGAAGCACCGTCATTGGCAGATTGAAGGACATCTTCTCAAACACTGCGCAGCGCCAAGCCTGTGAATTGCGAGCTTGGGCATTGACAAAGTGGTTGGCACAAGCACCACCACCAACCAAGCGCGTGAAGTGCCATCATTGACAGGGCTGAGGTAGTCTGCACTGCACAACCACTGCCCACCGACAAAGATGCGACCCTAGGCATTGACAAAGCAGTTCGGGCAAGCGCAGTTAGCTACCTAACATTAAAATTAGAGAGCTCGACGTTATGCGGGTGTGGTTTTTACGTGCTTTTGTGGTGTTTTTTCTTAGATTTTGTCATGTTTAGTCAGAGTTTCCATGGTTATAGTCTAGATATGTTCTTGTGCTCCTGTTTCCTAAACAAAACCAACTTTTCTTGTTTAAAAAAAATCTGGATCCAACTCTACCCTTCCTTGCCCATAAGCATTCTCATTGTTTCAAAGGTAGCACTTTT